GAAGCATGTGACTAGAGGAAAGCTGAAGGGAAAATTCCCTAGGATTATCTGAAGGGGTGATGAGTGGAAGGAGAAGTCAAGGATTACTCTAGAAGGGATGGGGTATACATGCAAGGATCACAGAAGTCAATTCTGATGGATTGTTGACATGCAAGCAACAGTGAGTTGGGTATACAGAATTCTGAGAGGCAGGTATGTGATGAGAAGAGTGTAGCTGAGACAAGGGAGACACAAGGAAGGATGTGATAGGCTTGAAAATGCAGGGGGCATGGAGAAAACTGAAGACACTGTAGATGCTGTAGACTCAATAGACACTTTTAGACACTGGGGAGTCTTGAACTTATGAAACACACACCGATAGTGACTCCAAAAGTGGGTGGATATTTTTCCATCACTACAGGAACATGGGATGTAGGTATGAGTCAGAGTAAAGTGGGGTGGAAAATCCAAAAGACCAGAAAATAAAGGAAAGGATGACAGACATCAGCAAAGTACAGATGCATGTGAAATAGATTGGTGAGTGGTAGATGAGAGTAAAAGGAACAATGGCAGGGGGGGTATCTTCCAACAGAATGAGGGTACATGTACAGGTGAGAGGTGGAGTTGGCAGGAAGGCAGAAGGGAAGACCCTACAGGTATGAAGAATGATCTGTGGAAAGTTGAGGTGACAGGGGGAACTAGAATTTTTTAGAGATAACTGGCATGGATGACTGGTGATGTGGCTAGGTGGTGGCTTGGTTGTGGAATTCCACATCAGCTTATTGATGACTCTCAGCAAATGCAGAATTTTTCAGATCAGCTTATTGACAACAAGGGGACACATTGGAGGTCTGGAGAAGCTCTGAAGCCAACAGGGGGTAGGGCAAAACATGAGGCAGTGAGCAGAAATGATTCTGAAGGCATAGAGTGACAGGGGCTTGTCAAAGAGGCAGCAGAATTTACTGACAGTTTCCTGTTTCAGCCTCAGGGAGTATACAGCTCCCTGCACTGGATGTGAAGAGAACAGAAATTTTCCCAGTGTTCCACATAGTTCAGTCAACCATAGTCCTGAAACTGGGACATCCAAAGGGTACATTTTGGCCTAAAGGTGGGACTAACTAATGTTGGCTGGTTGTCCCTGATGAAGGATAGGCTGACATGTGGAAGTGAGGGTGGCATGATCCCACCCTCTGAAGGTGGTGTTGGCTGACCCCACTGTTGGATGGTTCCACCCCCTGAAGGTGGGATCAGCCAACCTCACTGGTGGATCGTCCCACCCCCTGAAGGTGACATTGGCTGACCTGGGTCTTGGATGATCCCACCCCCTGGAGGTGGAATTGGCCTACCTGGGTCTTGGATGGTCCCACCTCCTGAAGGTGATATCTGCTGACCTCACTCTTGGATGCATGCACTTTGGCTTTTCCTGCATCTTGATAGTTGGCTAGGATCAATGCTGAACTTGGAGGTGTCAATGCAATCCCAAAAGCACCTGCATTAGACAAGTTAAAGGAGAGCATCATTGGATGTACCCACCCCCTCACTAGTGGATGGTCCCACCCCCTGAAGGGGGGCTTGGCATAATCAGTCACTTGTCAATGTAGATATTACCAGCAGTAGGCAAGCTTCCATCTTCCAAGGATCCCCTGAAAATTTCAACATCTACATTATATCTATCAGGCCTGTCCCAGAGCTGTCTTGCTTGGCTGCCTCTTTCTGCTAGATCTCTTTCCCTCTTTCCCCTGATCCCCATCCTCCCCTGAAACCCCCTTTGTCATCTTCTTTTTCCTCTCAACATTCCCACTACCTCCCCTTGTCCTTTTCCTGTTATCCTGTGTATCCTTCTCCTCACCACCCCTCTCACCACCACTGAAGTCCTCTGTATCCCCTCCAGGGATTGTTTCAGTGCCTCCCACCTCCTCTTAGTCACCAGAATTTTGCTGAAGCCATGAAATCACCACCACCAAGGGAGCCATAACATCTTCCACTCTGTTGATGTCAAGCTTGGAGTTCAGCAAGAAGCCCAGATTGACAACTTCTGGGTCATCCTCTTCCACTTCCTGTGCCTGCTTACACTGCCTCCACAACATACCAAATCCAAGTACCACAGGAACACCTTTTGACATGCAAGCAAACCTTTCTGAGTGCAATTGACCCAGTGCCTTCCAGAAGGAATCCCCCTGGACATGGATCTCTTTGGGTAGATACTGGGCACTCCAAGTCCAGGATTCCCATTCAGCTAACTGGGAGGTGTGTTCCATATCAGGTTCCTGCAAAATTTGTTCATTAGCTCCATGATCAATGCAACATTGCCACTTATGATCTCTGGTAAGGCATATACAAGATCAATAAGCTCCTGGCACCTGGGCATGATGCAAAGTGACTTTAAAAATTTGATCTGGTCCCTGTCTGCATGCCAAGTGGTGTCACACACCAAAGGTGTTGTGATGTCTGCTGAGATCTGACATGCATTGCCACCCCCTAATGTGATACCATCCTTACTCATTACTTACCAAGCATTTGTGCCTTGTTTGTCATAGGCTGTGCTCCCCCTACAGTATATAAACCCCCCTGTACTTAGCTACAAAACCTCAGAAATCATGAATCAAGAAGTAATCATCTCTGAAGTCACTCATCATTGAATCATTGACAGTTGAGGCTCCACACAAGGGTCTATTTGTCACCAATCATCATCTGTGGTAGTTGAGGCTCCATCAAGGGTCTATCTACCATCATTCATTATCTGCAGTTCCATTCACACTTAGTCATCATCCACTGCTTAGTCATCCTCCTTCAATCACTTTCTTATTGATGCTGTGGAGTGCAAAACCTCTGCTATGAGTTTCTATCAGAAGCTGAAGGAGGTTTACCGATAATGCTTTTCCAGAATGGGTGCTAGTTGAGTGCCATTCCCCATTCAACAGCTTACATTAACATTTTCCCTCAGATCAGGATAGGTACAGGGAGCTCATGAGGGTGTCCCATCAGTGGAGGAATTTGAAACATAGGAAATGGTTTGGGTTTGGTCATGATTCTGAGAAAGATCCTGGATGGGGAGGGCTTGCACTCTTTTGCCCTGCCTGCCCACAACCACATATCAATCTACCTGCAGACTGGAGAACCCAATACTGCAGGTACAGAGCCATGATCCATAGGGATTCCATTCCTATCCCCCTTTGGTGATACTGTGATGAGGCAATATGTGGTGCTGTAGAAACATGTAGGGTGCAAGGATCCTTTCCAAACCCAGAAAGCAGGATCACATGGCTGAGCACTATAAGCAAGTGTGGGAATGGAGTCAATATCGTTGGAAATGGTGGAGATATGACAAAAACTGGAATGCCATACACAGGCACTAAGAACTTTTGACAGGTGTGCTTAACTTGCTTTCTCTTTTCTCTCTAGCACTGATGACTCATTCTTGTGTGAAGGATGACTGCTAATGTCCAGTGGTCCTACTATGCATGAGGGCTATAGTCATTCATCTCCATTCATGGCATTGTGTGCAAGCCATCAATGAGTTAGGCAGAGTCAGCTGTAACCCTGTCCACAACACCTTTGGTGTGTGACAGCAGCCACCTACACTAACTTGGAAGTTTTCAAGGCCCACCATGTACATGTCCTTGTAGTAGGGATCATTCTTGAATATGACTTTAGTGAAATAGCTTGGACTTCTTTCTTGTTATGGCCCACTGGCCCCTCATCAGGTGAAGGTGGTGTGACAGTTGTGGTCTTATCACTAAAAAGGATGCTTTGGTTTGTGGGATGGGTGAGCAACCAGTTGACAAACATATTGGTGTGAGGAATGTCCCAGTTGTGGTTCTTTGGCTGAAGACCTTCTATTGTAGATGCATCACCAGTAGTGGTGATGGCTTGCTGGCTGGATGAAGCTGGGTTCTTGCCCTTGGTTCTGCTATGACTAGATCTACTGCTCAATTGTGACCAGAACCTGCATTCCCAGTGGGTCTGTTGGATCCTCCTTGATGGGTTTGTTCACTTGAAAACACCATGGGCTGACCTGAGCTTGCTTGCAGGCAAGCAGATAGAGCAGACATAATTTTTCAAACTCTGCAAGGCCAATGCCAGTTTTAAATGCCACTCCAGAACACTTCCAGAGTGCTTCCAGCACCACCTGGAGCACCACTATTCATTGAGATGGGGAGTACTGAACAACACTGCCAAGGAAAATACATTCTGGCCAGTTTTGTATGCTGATATCTAAGCATGAACTTTTCAGGAAATTAACACTTTACTATTTTGACTGTTTTTGGAAGGAACCTATTATTTGTGCTTTTTTTGACCATGTACAGCATTGAAGAATGAAAAGAGAATAGAATCTATTAAGACAACTCAGGAATAATAAGTGGATGATATATCTAAGCCAAGAAGACTAGAAAATGTCTCAAAATTCAGACACTGTCTGAGAGAAAAATCACAACATCTCTTTGAAACCTCCATCAATTTGAATGTAATTTCATCCACTTAGTATTCCTGAGTTGTCTTAATAGATTCTATTCTCTTTTCACTCTCCCAAAAAAACCACAGATAGTAGGTTCCTTCCAAAAAAGTCACAAATAGCCACAATAGTCACAAAAAAAAGTCAAAATAGTAAAGTGTTAATTTCTTGATGAAAGTTCCATAGCAATTCATAGTAAGATACTGGACCAAGTTCCATGACAATGTGACCATTCCATAGTAACAGACAACTCACCATAGCAAACAGTGTTGTTGGGTGCATCTGTCAAGCCTGGACCTAGCTAGGGGACTCTGTATTATGGAGCACTGTGGAGAGCTCCACAGCACAAAGTGATCTAATGATGTCAGGAGTGCCCAACATAGTGGTTACCACCTTGGCCACACAGTTTTGGACCATCTTTTGATTACACACACCACCTTGCTGTCAGGGACAAAGGGTTGGGTAAATCTGCTGAATCACCTGTACATCTGGTATGTCATAGTAAAATTACAAAATGCGACGGTAACAGTGATAGAGCAGAGAACATCATAGTTCCATGAAGAGTAACTCAACGATCGAACGAGTGCGGATTGTCAGCAACGTTAAACCACTTATCGTCTCGCTCCAGAGCTGCAGGTGGAATATCGGCAAGGGCCCTGGCAATGCCTCTGTCGTCAACTGCACTCATCCCAACTAGAGAAATGATCTCGTCGAGGACGGCGTCGCGACCCGGGATTATATAGTCTCGACTCATGATCTTCCGCTGAGCGTCACGCTGTGTTGTCGACGTATAGTATGCGTTGAAAGCCAAACTAATGGCTCCACGGGAAAGCTTCTTTTCGTTGTTGTTAGCAGTGAGTGCGAATAATATCTCCAAGATGTGGACCAGATCGACAACATAAGCCATGAACTTGCGATGCACCTCCGGTCTAAGGAGAAAGTTATTCGTAGGGAATACTGAATATCGTGTCACCCACAGTCGCTGATACGTCTCATGAACCCATTGTGCAAGGCCCAATCCCGCTTTAAACGGCAAAATTATAGGCACAGCAAGCAAGAGGGGAGCCCCTAGCCTTGATGTGTGACTTCTCATAAATGTGATGTATGATGGCTTACACAGCAATACTTACTCGCATATGTTGCTGGTAGTATCAGTATGAGGGAGAGGTGGAGCCGACGAGTCAATAGTCTCCACCAGTTTTATCATCAGCGCTCGAAATTTAGTACTATAGAGATACTGCGGGACAGGCATCACCAAGTGGTCACTGCAGTGGTAATTGAGTCACGCTCACTTGAGATGGGTCATTGAAATTCCAGACGGATACGATGTCGGTATGAATAACGGCAAGGCATTCAAGAATCGTATGATCCCCAAAATTGGCACCAGAAGTCAGTGCTCTCCAATATCCTTCAAAACATGGGTATCAATGTTTCGCACGTTGCGAACCATACAAGATTGCTTACTCTGCTTGCCGACACTACAAGAAAACAGCCTCAGGTCGTGATATGCAAACAAGTAAGCGCAACTCACGTTATCGATCCCTCGATCTTCAACCTTGGCGACACTCTCTGTGCCATTTGAGTCACGACCGAAACTGGGGATGGCGTGCCCAGCTGAGACCCAAAAGTTGCGACAACCTTCTTATGAGTGAGCTCAATCAATTCCTCAAGCCCTTGCCTATGCTCGCCGAACTCTAACAACACAAGGTAGAACCATGGAACGGAGTCCAAATAAATTAAACCCACCACAGCTAACTGTGAGATGTGTTAGGTTTGAGTTTCCGGTGAAGAGCTGGATGGGCTTGATGCAATGCTGTTCCAAGTATTCTTCTGCAGCTGAACCAAATTTGTCCACTCCCTGCAGTTGAAAGCTATCCAGGAGCCTGTCGTATTTCGTGAATACCACTATAGTCGGAACTAACGGCAATCAAGAGCTTGGAAGATGCCACCAAAGTGTGGATTTGCTTACTGTCCCCGATAGTACCCATATCTTCTTGCAAGAGCCTCTCCGCGCATCCTTCTGTAAGGCGTTCGCCATTAGATACGAGGGGCGTTTGGAAGCACAGCCTACGACCTAACTGTCCGTCAGGGTCTTATGATTATCTTGGATCTACTTGCCAGACTGCATGCAATTGATCTTTGATATGTAGCTGATTTTTACGGTTCTCTACGAACTTCTTCACACTGCTATAGTTGTTGTGTTCCGCCGGTTCGAAACCCTTGCTGTCATGTAAGACAAACCGGTCGTTCTGCCACGAAGTGAGTTCTTTGCCAATATCAGCTTCACCTGGCTTGTCGTCCTTAGCGACCTGGGAATTTCATGAACAAAGAGCATGCACATGCTCTCGGTTACTCAACTGCCTCCTCGATTCCAAAGGCTTGGCGAATCAATGTAGATTTCCCGACACCAGACTAAAATGATATCATCGTCAAACATGGACTTTGGGCACCGGCCAATGTTCACCACCTGCCCGATTACCAGTACCCGAAAACTAGTATAGATGTGTCAGATATTTGTGCAATGGTATGTTGGACTTACTCACCGAGGGCACTCTTTAAGGAGGTCCTCAGTGGTAGGACGTAGGACACCGGTGTTCGTAGGCGCGGAATCACCCTGTGGATGCTGCATGAGAACCCTTCAAGGCTCCATCCATTTGCACATACGACCGGGGTGCTACAGGGTGAGAGTCCAATGGTGATGTCCAATTTGTTGCGCACTGTCTGAAACTCTACGAGCGTTTAAATGAAACATGGGAGAGAAGGGGCTAGTTTCCTTCCGACTTACTCTGCTCCCTCGAATTAGACAGCACATCATTGACGTTGATCCGGACGACCTTGACGACTGGAATGACTTTGGAATACCACTTTTTCTTATGAACGGAAAAAGAGAAGGCTTCGCCTTCAACGGTACTATTGGGTACGAAGAACCTGAGGAATGGCAAGCGTGTCACATAGACACTCTTACAGAGGTTGAGGGAATTCTTCCCGAAAGAGATTTTTACTTCGTGGACGAATACTGCGTCGACAACTGGGGAGGATGACCTCGATAAATTCAATATGATCCTCCAACATCTGGAGCTCGATATCTGTCCTATCGGTGTTAGTCTGCACAACCATGGGGAATCGAAGTTCGAACGTCGTACATGAAATTTGCAGCGGCTGAGCTATAGACATGGTAAGAGGTCAATGTAAGCCTAGGTACAGAGTTGCCTAGTGGCAGGCAGTTGAAGGAAGCCGTTTAGGCCTATCAGGCGTGCACGCCAGACGGTAGACACGAGGCTGAGTGTACGATATCAGGATGATGTAACATGGGAAGTGCCGTCCGCATCGGCGCTAACCTTGCTTGCCAAATATGACTTGGTTCGAAAAATTTGCAGGTGGCGATGCCGTGGGAACGTCCTTAAAAGGAAAAGCCGCCCTCGGGCGGGTGGGCGGGGAGGGGGTTCGAGTGTTCGAGTGGGCCCTGCCGGGCATCGCAATGTCAGGGCTCCAGCGGGATGGCTCAGGAGGGTGCCGAGGCACTCTGTTCACGTCCTACACATGTTTATCTATGCTCTTAACCAACGAAAAGTGGGAAATTTGCAGCCGGATAAGCAAATTTTCAGGAGGGCGGCCGGTGCCAATTTTTTTGCGAGCGCGCGTTCGCACGCATGCAGCCGAGCCTGAAGCGCAAGTGCCACACGCGAGGCGTGATCACGTGACCACTTCCCGCGCCCGAACACCACTCATCTAGCAAATTTGGGCGGGCCTCTTTGCAGAATACCCATTTATTTCATGAATAATTACATGGCCAACATAGAGTGGCTTCCAGTAGCATTGAATTGAGTACAGATGTACAGGCAAGGGTTGTGCACAGCCTGCAAGTCTCCCGACCCTCACTTTCTCACACACATGCCTTCCACTTAGTCAGTGAATTTGCAGTGGCTGTAAGCACAGCCACCTGCAAATTTTTCAGAATAAATGTACTTAGCACGAGACATTCGCAGTGGCAGTGAAGCAGCCTTGCCAACCGCAGCAGGTGCACGCATGTGATCTGAGAGGCCGGAAACCCTGTGACATCACTGCTGTCAGCCACCATCAGCCACCTCAGCCCCATGCCAGCATTGTTGGCACAGCTGGGCATGCCATATGCAGTTGTGTGCCATTGGCAATAGTGTGATTGAGTGCAATCAGGCTCTGTCACCCAGCTTGGAAGCTTCTATGGCATTGTCCACATATGCCAATGCACTGCACACATTTACTATGGTCAGACCATTGACTTGAGACCCCCCCCAAAAAATGCTGGTTGTGAATGATGAAATTGCTGTATGATGTGTATGACAGTAATATGTACAGCATGTGAAGACAACAATGACAACAACAACAACATAGTTTAAGTATTAAGGAGAAGAAAAAGACAAAATGATGTCAACCTGGTGCAATGTGCATCAATGCTGATCATTGCTGGATTGCCCCATTGAAGGAATGTCATGGACTTCATCAGTGAGGTGATGATGGCATTCCCCATCTCTGGGATGCCATTTGCAAGCATCCACAATCACCTTGAGGAGTCTTGTGTGTCCTAGACTGGCAGTATTCCATAAGCCTTGAGGAAGGCTTCCTCTTCACCTTGGAATCTGAGGGGAAATGTCATCAGAGATTCAGAGGGCAGGATTTGCCAGGAGGAGCTCAGGAGGAGGTGGCATGAACAAACTGACTTACTCATTGAGAAATTCTGTTGTGATGACACCTTGCTGGTGGTGCTTCAGATTGAACTGCCACCCATGCTTCCCATTGTGGTGGTGGTGTGGCCAGTCCTTGAGCAGAATGTACAGGCCAAGACATGGCTCACCTTCCATCCAGTGGCACACTATGTCCCTCCAGGAGTTGGATTTTGGTGTCCAAGTCCCATTGACATGCAAGGCAGGCACATTTGGGATGCAAAGGGGGACTGAGGGGTGGTGTCACACACCAAAGGTGTTTGGTGAGGTGGACATGGATACAGCTGATGAATGGAGATGAAGACCATAGCCCTCATGTGAAGAAGGACAGCCAGAAATGTTGGCAGTCATCCCTTGCACAAGGACAAGTCATCAGTGCTGAAGAAAAAGAATGGGAGCAAGTTAAGTGCTGGTTAAAATTTTTAAGCACCTGTGTATGGCATTCCAGTTTTCGACATATCTCCACTGTTTCTGCAGATACTGAGACCATTCCCACACTCACTTGTAGTGCTCAGCCACACGATCCTACCTTCCAAAATTGGAAAGGATTTGCACACTCCACATGTTTCTACAGCACTCCCTCCAAAAGATGCTCATTTCACTAATTCTTCTGATATGGCCACCTCCACATCAATCATTTCACTTGTCCCCTTTGCTAGGGACCATGGCTACATATATCTACCAGGAGTTCCTACCAGCTTCCATCCTGAAGCATCCTGGTACATCCCACCCTTGTCTGCACCCTCTCAGCCCATCCAGCTTGGACAGTGTGTTCTTTTTGTCAGTATGACCTCTAGGAGGATGTTCTTTGGTCCCCTCAGGTCTGTCATTCACTTAGAAAGGGCTTATGTGGTCATTTCAGTCTCTCCAGTCCAAGAAGCATATGGATCCTTCCTCCCTGCTCCCTGCAATGTCTTCATACCAGTCTCATCTGTCATTCTTCCAAGATTGCAACAGCTACAGTATAATCTACTGTTTTCCACTCTCCCTGATCACATCCATGACAAGTATGATGCACATCTTGCCTCCTTGTTGCAAGATACAGCAGAAGGCACTCCCCCTTCATCCTCTCTTCCAACAGAGCCTCATTCATGAAGTTTTTATTTGCTTCACTGAGAGGATGGTTTGGGGGGGAAAGTTGCGATCCCCTATGCTCCTGTCACCCCACAGACCCCCAAAGCTTGACCCCTGTTGACATCTGATTCACCCTGTCCACTTTTGGATGTACTATATTGGCATCAGATCAGTGCTGCCTCTCTGTCATCCCACCTTGGCCTAGAAGTGATCTCTTCAAGATGTGACATGCACAGCCTCCCCCTAAGTGATTCCAGCACACTTTCCCAGTTCCTGACATTACTTGACTCATACTTTGATGTTCTGACTGTCTTTGACTCACCTATTGCCAATACTTACCAATCTTTTTGACTTTGCTTACTGATTCTTTGCCTTTTGGCTCACTTATCCTTACCAATGCTTTCCAAGATGATTACCCATTGCTTACATTCCTTACTCATCAGTTACCAATCACTTACCAAGTGTTTGCACCTTGTTTCCATAGGCAACACCCCTGTACTGTATATAAATCACTGTACTTAGATAGCAAAAAAAGGAAGAAGACATCAGAGAGCTCCTCTTGCTCACATTTTATCATCACTCAGTAATTCATTCAGCAGCTTCAATAGTTGAGACTTTATTAAGGGACTAACTATTGTCTACTTCACTTATCCTTGTCTATCATCAATATACTTCACTCCAGGCCCTCCCTGAGCTCAGTGCAGCTTAGGACATTGAATTAAGTTGCCATCCATCCTTCTGTAGGCTGACAGCAGTCTACCCTATTGCTTTCTATCACATTCTTGCTCCCTCTTCATCAGGAGCACCCCAAACCCTCAGCACTCATCTTTGAGTGCTGTAGCTCACAAAAACCCACCCAAATCAAAGGTTCTACCATCTAGGTACTGCATAGGCACACCACCACTTGCTCTTTTTGTCTTTTGTGTTGGTTTTGGTTGGTTTTCACCACTGAACCACACTTTGACTCACAGCAGGTGCTGGTCCTCTGCAGTCCGACATGAGAAGGGAGGGATGTCAATATGGAGATATCAATGTCTGGTGGCTGGGTGACTCATGGTATCCTGAACTGCATGAGAGTTGGCTGTAAACTGAAGGCAGATGCATGGACATGGGCAGCTGGGATGGAAATGGACTGAATTTCCAGGGATGATGAGGTCATGCCAGTCCAAAGTACAGGGCATGCATTTAAGTGGGACTGTGCAGCTGGGATGGAAATGGACTGGGTTGCTGGAGGCACTGAGGCCATGGTCTGTGCAGGTGATTGGTGGGCTGATATGTGCAGCTAGTCAGTTGGCTTGGTAGAATTGTTATAGCATTTATGGACTCACCAATCGCTGGCATTACCTGATGCAACACTGTTTCAGGTCGAGCCAAGTATGTTGAGGGTGAGGTTAGGACCTTCACAGTCATGTGCGGTGAGGCCATGTCTGCTGTTAGCAATGTGTGGGCCATGTTGAGTGCCTTGGTGGAGGCTGGCCTGGCAAGTGCAGCTTCACCTGCAAATGAACCATCAGCCTCATGTGAGACTGGTCACAGTGCATCACTGTGGTCATTTTCATAACAGTGTAATTCATTGAGCAGGTAGCACATTAGCATATTGCACTGTGTTGGTGGTGTGGAGCAAAAGAGAAGTGAGTATGACACATGCTGATCAACTACTGCACACCCAGATAGGAAAGAGGGCAACTCACATGCTCACCTTCTGCCCACCCTCCCCACCACTGAACCTGTGTGAGGGTCCATCACTGCCCCAGTGGGGCAAACATGAATCTGTATTGTGCCTCACCATGATGGTAACAATGTGTCAAGAACATACCAGGAATCCCAGACCCTGCTACTGCTTTGTTGATCCACTTCTGCACCATGTCATGGGAGAGTGGCTCACCCAGCTGCAGCACACTATTTACACTGATAGTGGGAAACAGGAAGTCCTTGTCAGCCATCAGCTGGTCAAGATGGACAAGCTCAACCCACCTTATCCAGAACACAAGGTGCAGGAAGGTGTTGCACACCTTTCCCATATCAGGGCATGGATAGATCTTATAGTGATTACCTTTGGTAGGAAGAAGATCAGATATGCATTGCCATGCCATGATGAAGATGGATGGATGCACTTTGCAAGTCAGCTTCCCTCATCCCCTTGTCCAGCTTTTTCTGCCATCCCTTTTGGTTTCTCAAGTGGATTTCAAAGTAAGTGTTAAGCTCATTTATAGTGAGTGCATGTTCCTTGCCTCGCAGGTATTTCATGAACATGGCATTGATGACAGTCCCATCAAGTTGGACATCTCTGCTTCAATTTCACCAGTTCATAGTTCCTGTCATGGATTGCTGTCAAAACCATTGTTAATGTCACATATAGAACACTAGCACTTGCCTTGTCCAGAGCATGAATGCAACAGCACCACAGGCCAAGTATTGGAGGTGCTGTGTGATTGTTAGCTTTGCCTTGTTACTCAAGCACTCACTCATTGGCAGCCCTTGCAAGCCTGTCATCATGAGATGAATATACCACAATGGGGCATTGAGGGGACAGAGATTCTGACCAGGTGAGGATGCGATCCATATACTCCTTTTTCATGGCTCCTGAGTGCATTTGCTCAGCCCCTTTGGAGTTAACCTTGTGCCTGATAGATGCAACAACATTGTCAACTTCTGCCAAAAGGACTGGGTTATCTTCCCATTGGTGTTGTGCATCATCATGATGCCATCACTTGCAGAATGTTGTGCCCTTGCTGTTGGGAGGAACAATGCATTGAGGGTATTAGTCAACAAGTACAGGGGTAAAATGAGTGGTCACAGCATGCATGTCTCATCCCACAACATCTTGAATGCTGCTTGAATTCTGTCAATTGTGCTCTGGCTACAATTCTCCTGGAATCCCTTCCATGAAAGGTAAAGTGCCAATGCCTTATCTGAGCACCAGTTTGGCACATGCTCAAATGTGTTCTTGACATTGGGATCACTGTAGACTTCCAAGTTGTCTACAGCATGGCTCAGAGCTGATGGTGTCCCCTCTGCTGGAAAGTGGCTCCCCAGCCATGAGTGTGCTTGATGGACATGCCTAAAGTACATTGCCCTTATCTTTGCTGCTTGCAGGTGAGTTTGCTTGCCAGCTTCCTTGATTTGATGGACAGTATGCAAGCTTGGCATTTCCTTTGCAGCAGACACCCTTGCCTTCTTCTTTGGCTTGTTTGGGGACCCAGATGAGGCAGGGTACTTGGTAGTCGATGCCTTCTGTCTGGCCATTATGACAGGACTTTAATCATGGACCCAAACTTGACTTCACAATGTGGGTGTTGTGAAGTCACAAGCACAGGGGCATTAGCTACCATGTCCAGACATCATTTGTTTCAATTCTAATACATGAGTCGACTTGGCAGAAAGTCTCAACATGTGTGTAGTATGGAGTGTGCCAAGTCAAGTAGTACTAATGTGTAATGCTAGAGTATTGAATGTATATTTGACAGGTTCATAGTAGGGAGGAGAGCAAGGCTCTGCATGAGGGAAAATGAATGACTACAACCTGCAACAGTCCCATACAAGGCAGGTGTATTCTTCATCAAGTTTCTGATACCTGTGGTGGGGAGTAGGGCTGTCTGCATGAGGGAAAATGAGCAACCACAACTTACAATGGTCTTGTATGAGGCAGGTATATTCTTTGTCAAGCTTGGCATACCTGTAGTGAGGAGTAAGGCTGTCTGTGCAAGGGAAAACGAGTGACCACAACTTACAACAGTCTTGTACAAGGCAGGTATATTCTTCATCAAACTTTGGATACCTGTAGTGGGGAGCAGGGCTGTCTGCACGAGGGAAAACAAACACTCATGATGGTCCTGTATGAGGTGAGCATATTCTTCATCAAGCTTTGGATGACTGTAGTGGGGAGCAAGGCTGTCTGCACAAGGGGAAATGAAAGATCAGGCCTTGCATACCTGCAGTGGGAAGTAAGGCTGTCTGTGCAAGGGGAAACAAATGGCTGCAACTTGCAATGGTGCTGTACAAGGCAGGGGGATTCTTTGTCAAGCTTCAGATACCTGTGGTGGGCAGTAAGGCTGTCTGCATGAGGGGAAATGAATGATCAGGCTTTGTATACTGTAGTGGAGAGTTAGGTCATCTGTGTGAGGGAAAATGAATGACTGCAAAGTCAGTTCAGGAGTAAGGCTGTTGGTGCAAGGGGAATTGAATGATCAGGCTTTGCACACTGTAGTGGGGAGTTAGGCTATCTGTGTGAGGGAAAATGAATGACTGCAATGTATGATGGACCCATACAAGATGGGCATATTCTTCATCAAGCTTTGCATACCTGCAGTTGGGGAGTCAGGCTGTCTGCACAAGGGGAAATGAATGATCAGGCTTTGGATACCTGTAGTGGGGAGTAAGGCTGTCTGTGCAAGGGAAAACAAATGACTGCAACACACCTGTATGTCATGAAGTGAGCGATCAAGCATTGAATACCTGCAGTAGGGAGTAAGGTTGTCTGTGCAAGGGCAAATGAATGACTGCAACACACCTGTATGAGGCAAGCACACTCTTTGTCAAGTTTTGCATACCTGTAGGGGGGAGCAAGGCTGTCTGTGTGAGGGAAAATGAACAACTGCAGCTTGCAATGGTCCTGTATGAGGCAAGCATATTCTTTGTCAAGCTTCACACCCAGGGAATTGTTATCAAGACTGATCTGGAGGACTCCAGGAGGGAAGACCTCCTACCACTGAGCCCAAACATATTAAACCTCTCCACATACAACTGAATGAGGTTGCCCAACAATTTGTACACTGCACTGTCACACACCTTGATGAGATGTCATTGGATATAGCCTGTCTCCACTGTTTTAACATTGGTATCAATGGGCCTTCCTCAGGGCAATGATGTGACTCACCAATTGACCCTTCTAGCACAATCAAACACCAGCTGAAGGAGCCTCAATGACTTAAGGTGGATCTTCAACTGCATTTCCTCATCTGGGAGGGCAAAGAAGAATTTGACAACCATGGAGTCTTCAATAATTGTGGATGTAGGGTCGAGGTCATACTAAAGTCTGAAGCAGTGTGTAAGCGAGCTCTTGCTGCACATTCTTCACCAGCATCCTGTCCCAGGTGATATCAGATTTCAAGTATATGGAAAGCAAACATGTTTTCAATATTGGTGGCAATGTTGATGATTTCTTTCAGATGAGGTGCATCAAGTGCAACATTTTTGCTGGATACACCAACATAGTGGAAGGTGTTAATGATCATCTGAGTAGCTGGTTCACCAATAGATCATACAACAGGGGATTAGTTGAACTTTATCTCAATCTCATCCAGCACCCACTCAAACAGTTCATGGTTGAGGTGGAACTCTTCCAACAAGTGGCAGGCAGCAGTTGTGGCTCATACCTGCATGTGGAAAGTGTTTGCCTGTGCCTCCCCACCAAGTTCATTGTCACCCAGCACAGCCAGAAGCCTCTCTGTGAGTTGGTGGACTGCATTGATAATGATGCTAGTTCAAGGTTGCTAGGCTTGCAGCAGTTGATTGGGAAGATCTGAGCAGCATTCTAGATGACACAAGCAAGTTGACAGACATACAGTGGGGAGTAAGGCTGTCTGCATGGGGGAAATGAACAACCATGACTCACAATGATCTTGTGTGAGGCAAGCATATTCTTCACAAGGCTTCATTTCCAACTCCAGGGGGCTCTTGCCAATACTGATCTACAAAACTCCATCCACAAAACTCTGTCATTCTAGTATTGATGAAACAGATGTAGAGCCATAAGTCATTTACCAAATGGTGGGTGATGCAAACACAAACATCTTCATCTTTGACAAGGTATGCACATGCTCCATTGAGCAGTACCCCTGTGAAGATGATGCAGATACAATTTTGGCTGATACATTTTCAATGCTGATGGGGATAGGTGGGGGTGTGGAGGAGGTCACAGAGGCAGGTACCATCCCAGCCAAAAGTTGTTTACCAAACAGCAAGTGATGTGAATGCAAACATCTTCATCTGCAATGACAAAGTATGTATGTGCTCCATTGAGGAGTATCTCTGTGAAGGTGATGTGGATGCAATTTTAGCTGATACATCTTTGACACTGATGAAGATAGGTGGGGGTGTGGAGGAAGTCACAGAGGTGGGTACCATCCCAGCCAAAAGTTGTTTACCAAATGGCAAGTGATGTGAATGTGAACAACATCTTCATCTTCAATGACAAAATGTGCTCCATTGAGGAGTACCCCTGTGAAGGTAATGTGGATGTGATTTTAGTTGATACATCTTCAACACTGACAGGGATAGGTGGGGGTGTGGAGGAAGTTGCAGAGGCAGGTACCATCCCAGCCAAAAGGTGTTTACCAAATGGCAAGTGACATGAATGTGAACAACATATTCATCTTTGACAACAAAGTGTGCACATGCTCCATCAAGGAGTACCCCTGTGAAGATGATGCAGATGCAATTTTGGCTGACACATCTTTGATGCTGACAGGGATAGGTGGGGGTGCAGAGGAAATTGTGAGGTGGGTTTGACAGTGGTATTGATGAGACCTCAACCAGTTGCAACATGGAAAAAGAACTGCTGCAGGGTCAGTCTGCACAAGTCCCCACAAATCCCCTCACCTCCAGACTGAAGGTGCCCTTGGTAAGGTAAGGTAATGTCCAGTGGTGGAAGGTGGACATCTGCAAGACATTGATATACACATTCACAAGCAAGGTTTTTGCATTCAACTGTACCTCACAAAGTTGCATCTCACCAACTAAGCCCAGTGCATATTTTGATTTGTGGGCATTGCAGAGTTGACAATCATGAGAAATAAGGTAGGCACACCGTGCATGATCCCCAGATATAGTATGTGAGGAAGGTGAAATAAATGAGATGGACAATATTGGGGCATGGAGACAGGAGGATGCATGTGGCTGAGTTGACAATAATGGGGAGCAGCACAAGCACAAGAGTGGGCAGGGAAGTCAATGAGATAGACTTGCACACACCCCATAATTTGTTGAGAAGTGGGGAGCAATGCTGTCTGAAAGGGAAAAAGAAAAAGAAAGTCAATTTGTGACAGTGCTGTATGAGGCAAGTGTATTCTTTGTCAAGCCTCGTTTGCAACTCCAGGGGAGCCATCATCAGACTGGAGCTGGCCAAGGACAGCATAACATCACACAAGTATCTGTACACTGCCAACAGCTTCAAAGTTTGTGAGGGATGGGATGAATAGTGCATGCAATGTACCACTCACGAACTGATACAACACTACAAATACATGTACTAGGTGTGACTAGTCCTCACTCCTCATGAGAACAACATCTCCAGTTTCAAGACATGCTGTGTCCTTGCCACCTGTCAAGTCAATCACTCTAGCTTTGGGAATGAGTGGAACAAGGTTAACCATTGGCTCAGGTGGTTGAAGACCAGCATCCTCATCCACCAATTCCATGCAAGATGGCTGGGATGATAGAGTGACAGTGCCTTGCACCAAGTTGGGCCTTGAGTGTTCCAACATGACTGTGGGGACCTCCACTTCATAGAATGGGTTACCATTACTGACCTTGCCCAGTGGTGACATAGCACAACAGCTGACAGATCCACCTCCACTGGCAATGGAAGGAATCAGCTTGGCACAGAGAGCCTGTATGTAGGCAGTGACTTGTTGAAATAGCTGTTGACCTGAATGCCATGTCACAAGCCCTCACCATCAATGTTGCCTGGCAGCTGCATATGGTGGATGATGAGATGGGATGGGCATATTTGGCATAATTGCAAAACTCACCTGTAGAAGGGCACCCATGGCTGCACCAGCACAAGCATCCATCAACACAGACTGGACAGTATCTGGTGGCCAGCCAAGGTGCTGTGAGCAGAATGCCACCAGGGCAGTGAGATTAGGCTGACAAGACATCACACAGGTAATGGGGGAATGTCCACCATCTGACCATGAGGTGAGGGGTGACAGATACATTGCCAGGATGGCAGGGTCAGGGAACTTGAAGTGTTCCTCCTTGATGACACAAGCAAGCTCATGGTACCTACATCCCAGGAAGTGCTGAGGATCTGTTCTTAGTACCTCACAGACATTGTTGCACCACTTAGCAACAAATTCCATGAACTCAACAAACTGGAGTGAGATGGCAGCTTCAAGGAGGGTCCTTCCAAAGCCATAAGCTACCAACTGATGGGCAACATCTGTGTTGCACCAGTGGCAACCTGTCTGTAAATCGCACAGAACTGAGTAATGCTTTTGGGGTACCAGATACAGTACTTGCATCACAGTCTGCACTGTTCATCAGTGTGATCAGAAGGAGATCACCCCATTCCAGGGTGGCACTATTGTCTATGGCTTCTGCCAAGTAGACTTCCATGTCTTCATCCCCACAGATGCCATTGTTTATGACAAGTCAGACAGTCACACTGGCCATGTTTCTATGTGTGAACAGACTCACCTGTGGAGAACACGGGTTGCACTGAACAGTAGTGTGTCAACATAAGGGGTCACCATGGCATCAATAAACCCACATGACTGAAGGCAGCTGAGCTCTGCCTCCACCTCTCCTGGAGCCTGATGAGCTGCATTAGCATTGAGCAAGATCCACAGTGAGCAACCTACCACATGCCAGTCGAAGCCAAATGCCATCAGAAGTTCTTGAAAGTGCTGCACAAGGAGGAATGGAGGGGACCAGCCCAGGACATCTTTTCCCCTCTTGATTTGAGGGCAGTCTGGTCCATCAAAAACAAAGTAGGGGTGGAGGAGCATCCAAGAGATGGTGGAGAGGCAACAGAAGATGGTTGGCATTTCGTGTGACTGACCTGTACCAGCTTGATGCCATGAGAATACATTAAGGAGTGAGAACATCCAAGCACTAGTGTCATTTGTCAGGGATGAGATGGACTGAGCATGGCAGGCCACTAACCTGGCATTAAACTCCACAGCAAGCAAACCTGCTTTGTCACCAGAGAGGTCAGAGCACTCACACAGCAAGCATTTTACAATTTTCTTTGCACAAACATGCAAAAAAAATTCTTTTAAATGATACTCTATTTTATCACATGCTCTCTGCTTGAACTAGTGGAAATAATCTTATGTATTGAATGGCTTTTCTGACAGAAAACATGGCACAGTAGATTTCCAATGTTTTGCTGGTGAAAAACAGTTACTATGACCCACCACCAAGAACTACAAACAATCATCAAAAAAAACATTAGTACTGTTTTCTGCATGTTATGTAATTGATTAATCAAATGTTGTAACATGAAATAATTTAAACACACTAGTCATTAGAGAATGTGTGATGTTACATAGAACATCACAAGTAAATGATAAATGTTTTATATGTGATAATACTAATAACCTTTAACCAAGTCTTTCAATGTTGACCCACAAAACATCAGATTATTGGCTCAATGTTTACTTCATAAACATGACATTTAAAACAATATTTGTTATGTGCAAAAACATGCTACTGAGATTCCATATTAACATGCTAAATATTTTCAATCAAATCACACTGATTTGTCTCCCAGAGAACATGATAAATAAAGAGTGTATTAAAGTGTCCTGTTGTACCACAGAACATGATCAGTGGCATCTGTAACCATCAATGCTATCACTGCTTGTCCTTGCTCAACCACCCCATCACATGCTGTCACATGATCTTATCTCATGGAATAAACCTCAGTCAGTCATGATATGTACCACCTGACTTTTTATACTTGAGTATTCTGTGTCCTTTGTTGTTTTTTCTTGCAACAACACATTGATGACACACATTATAATGTTCTGTGGTAGAGCAGGATAGTCCAAAATCCATGGTTCCATGGTTGCCCTGACTGACAAGAGAAAGAGTAGCCTCTGATAGCACCCCCACCACTCATGAATGTCCCCAGTCCACTTTTGAAAGTGAAAGAGCACAAGGCAGTTCATGCAAGAAATGGGGAGTTCAGCACTGTATTTGCAGTAGGCAGCAGTCTGACAATAACTGTACAGCTCAGAACCTTCACAACACCTCTACATATAACATGCTTACTTCACAGTTTATAATGCTCCATGGTGGAACAGGATATTGATATTTTATTACACTATTTATTTATCATGTTCTGTGGTATAGTTGTGGACAGACAAACACAATGATTTTGACTCTGGATTCCCATGACTTTTTGGGGGCAAGGGCAAACTAACACTTGATTCAGATGCTACAGGTGAAAATACATCAAAAAACAGTGGTCCAAAGTTTTCCCCATGGCTTTTTAGGGTGGCCAAAATTTTGGTTAGATTGAGTGTGGTACTTAGGGTGTGGTAACATGTTATTGACCCTATATAAGGTAGGATTAAGAACCACTTCAATGAACATCATGGCTTTCTGTGAGAGCTGATGGACATCAGGACCCTTCTTGTATTCCTTGGGGCATCTGAGTGACTGTTTTCATTGGGCAGCACACTTTGCTTCTCTCAGAGGTAACCAAGTCTCACCAAGAGGGTCATCACCAGCACTAATGGCAAGGTTGACCAACTGAGCACAGAGATCAGCCTCACCAAAACCCATGACTTGGAATGTGGCATCATCATGTTCAAGCTCATCCTCTGACTCACTCTCACTGGCTGTAAACTTCAAACTGTCAAGTACATTGGTGTATTTCCACTTCAGTTCTTCATCTTCTGCCTCAGGGCTGGGAGCTTGAGATCATGTCCTCATGCATTTGCTTGTGTGCTGATCCTTGTCAGATTTGGGTGTATCAGGGAATGATACTGTTGGAGTTTATCACTTTTACCTTAGTTGTGGTTCACCAAGCACAGCATTATGTAATCCAAAAGCGGACACTTAGCAGTTTATTTTTTTTCCTTACTGCACCTCAGCGTCAACCAACTTGAAGTCTGAGGTGGGACTCCTTCCATTCATTATATTGGAACACTTACTTACCTACCTACAGTATATTCCTCTCTATAGGTAGTTAATTGTTTAGCTTCAACCAACTTGAAGTCTGAGTATATTCCTCTCTATAGACTTGACAATCCTGCAGCTCGTCATCCTCCAAAAGATACATTGCCTGTTTCAACAACAGCTGAGCTCTGGTTATGCAGACCAGCCATGTTGCATGTTACAGTAGGTTTTCAAGGGCATTCCTGTGTCTCAGATCAGCAACTCACATGACCACAAACCTCAGACTTGCTCAATTTTTTCTGCTCCTCACTAGTGTGACAGCTGCACCCTGACATTGCAATCATACTGTACTAGGCCAATGCTACTTATTCCGCTTTTTCCAGGATTTTTACAAGTTCTTTTGTGGGCTGGCCACATTTTTGGGTCAAAATTTCAAAAACTTAGTATAACAAAAATTGGCTCATGCAGATTGCATTGTTATGTCCTAAATATGCCTAGTATACATTTGTAACACCCCTGGAATGTTGTGCCATATTGGAATAATTCAATGAGTAAAATTGTCATGTTTGTCTGTCCACAACTGTCAAACAGGATATTTTGTGCATGACAGACCCACCATGGTCCTCAATGGAAGAACTGGATGAGTCATTTTATCAGTGATACATTGTACTGTTTTATGTGTTTCATCTTTTATTTCAGGATATAATTGTGGAATCTGTAGATAGACCTCAGTATGCTGACACACTACTGAGGGATTAAGTGCACAGCAGAGCAGAGCAGCAAGAGGCCTGATGATGCAGCTAGGGCAGAGATGCTGAAAGATTGGAAAAACAAGTCAAGCACACTGGAAGGGAGTGGTCAGCTTGTCACCTATGAAACAATGTCAAAGAGAGACAAACTTGGATCTGTGCACAAGGCAGTCATGCCCACAAATGAACCTAAACAGCTCAGAACCTTCACAACATAAATCTTGACCCAAAAGCTTTGGTGCATCAACTGTATGTCTTCAGGGGATCACTGGAAGTAGTTTCAGCACAAATCCTGCATATGGGTCTTATCCTGGTGCCTCATCCACTCAATTCATCAAAGGTACTATTTGTCATGCTCCATCTTGAACATATTTCACCTGTTCATCCACATAGTATTCTCAGCCATATCCATCCATAGCCATAGCCCTATATTGTGCATCTGAGTTTCTCACATAGTAATTCATTTCAGCACTTAATGGAAAATTGTTCTTCAATGTGTCATGCACTCTCAAGCTTCTTCCTGATGAGATTGCTAGAAATGGTTAGTAAGGACTTCTTCAGGAAAATGAAAGCCCCTTGTGGTGGGCTCCAGATGAAGAGAATTGATTTTTAGTAACATAGAAAAATTAGTTAGATAGGGTGAGTGCAGTCTCAACCCCAAAGGGGCTTTGTCCTGAAGAATTTGGGTGAAATAAGGGAAGACAAAACAACCCTAATACTTAGCTCTTGGTGCACTCCTGTTCCTGCTTGACCTTCAAATCCTCACCTTGTGTGAGTCTATATTCTATACTTCTCCTCCCTTGTACATGTGTGAACTTGACAGAAAAGGCTAGAGTACTAGAACCTGTGAAAGCCCATAATCTCCCAGCCAAGTAAGATGCAATCATGCCAATAGCAAGCAAGGTTAGCACTGATGCAGGCAGCACTTCCCAAGTTCTCAAGGACATATAGCACAAAACACCAAAAAAAGAACATGCCCCCTCTTTTTTAGCCCTCCTAGAACACTGATTTCCTTTCCCTTCCCTCCAGACCCCAGAAACTGAATTACCATAGGTGAAGACTTCATCTTCCCTACACTGCCTGCCTTGATAGATACAAGGATACATTTCACATCCATGTCATTCCTAATGTACTCCAAGTTCCACTCATGTTTGGAGTTTGGATGGACTCATAGATCCATCATCTAAATAATATGTCAGCAAGTTTGAAGATAGTCAGAAGGTCTCACACTCACAGTGAGTAAGTATGAAGCCTTTTGGCACTGAGGAACTTTTGTACCAAATCCAGCAAGGATGTGAAGTACAAGAATATGATCATTTTTACTCAGCCTGCTGAATCAGCATCAATCTTGAGAAGGTCAACCAGCTGTCTCATCTTTGCTGACAGGACTGGAACATTGCATGTCCCAGACACAGATTTATGACTAGAAAATTTCACTGTGGGGTTTGGCCAAGCCCGTCACTAGCTGTACAGCAGAAGGTACATCCTTACATCTGGTTGTTGTCATCATCAGCTTCCAGATGAAATCTGGTCAAGAGATCAATTCTCTGATGCACTGACTTCATCCACCAAATGAATCAGAAGACAATGATGCAGAGACATTTTCATTGACAACACCACTACAACACACAAGCATCAGGTGATCACAAGCTATGGAGCAGGCAACATTAATCCTTAATGGCATAGCAGAGAACCAAGTCACTCACCTTGACAGAGGCAAAGAAGCATCTCCAAAACACAAGCAAAATGAGTCTTCACTATGTCCTGCTTTACCCATTCCTTGACCTTGGACCTGAGGTGCCCCTCAAGGGTATGGTATAGTCCTCATTCACCTTCATCAAACTGGTATCAAACTGCATGGGCATGACAGCCAGGGAATTGCAGTGCATCAATTTGAACAATGTCTTTCCAGTGAAAAAGCATAACAGCACTTAAAACAACCTGCAGGATGAATGAATGCAAGTAATAAATACACTACACCAGCCCACAAGTAATGGGAGTGGAACAGCACACAAATGCCAGGATAGGGGATGGTGGTGAATCTGGGTTCAAATTTGATATAACTGAGAATGCAGCACAATCAGTGCTTGGGAGATCTGGAGGCATATGATCATAGGCAGTTGAGGGTCATTGCTACTCAAGGGTAATGTAAAGCCGAATTCATCATTGAAGAATGTCACCTCCAAGCTAATGGCAATGGGGGCAATACTGGACACAGTGAACACACAATGTCACAGGATCAAGAGAAAACACACATGTAGAGGCAGTCCAGTAAAGACCGTCTGCAATTGCATATGAGAAGACCTCTGTCAAGTGTCTGAAATCTGGCATCATCAAGGGAAAGGTGAGACACAGTTGACAGAGATGGTCATGATGGTACCATTGTTGAGCAGGGTAATGATCAGCACCAGCCATAGTGGAATGCAATTGCAAGAATAGTGAAGTGGATGACAATACAAATAGTCATGGCACACATGCCACACACATGTTGGAAGATGATAAGGGAACCTCAGATGGTATGGACAATAGTGGAGAGACCAGGTTGTGTGAGGACAATATTGGCAGCAAGTCAAGCAACATCAGAGAATGGCCAGAGTGCTAGATCTCGCTGATCACCATGCCAGCTCGAAATTTGTGAATAATTGCAAAGCTTCATGGTGTGCAGCCCTCAGACTTGAGTGCATGAGATCACTATTGTCATACCTAGCAGCATTTTCAGTGATTATCAGAATCTGTATGTGCAAATGACTGGACTGAGAATTAAGTATGAGCCTACCTCTAAGTATCCACTGTGTGGGCATGTACCATATTTTGATATATCTGTGTTCACAGCTGATGCCATTGCACCTATAGGCTACCAGTAGTCTACCAGTAGCTCCTGGAAAACCATCTGCAATCCTCATTTATTGCTCAGCATCTGAGTTATATTAAAAAACACCTACTGACAACCTCACCAACATTTGGCCCAACTGAATTGCAGCTCTTTGTGAACACAGGCTCAGTATCACCCCTTGAGCACTGCTGGGAAGTTTGGCTTCAAGATGCATGTACTCACTGATTCAGTGTAGGGAGTCTGCATTCCCTGGATGCATAAGCCCCTATCATTGACTGTTCCATGACTACCATTACATCCCCTCACCACTCACATCCACCACTGTTCACACACTGCCTTCCCACCTACCTTTCTACCTTCCCACACCCTCACTCCCTCTTGCACAATGCTATACCCATGGCTGCTGTGCTCTGGTTGCTTCTTTCTCCTCAGACTCTTTCTTTTACCACAGTCTCTGTTCCTTTTGCACTAGTAGTATACCCTCAGCCTCTGTTCCAGCCTGTCTTGTGTGTATGTGCTGTTACATGTCTTTTTCCTTGCTTGTACTCTGTCTTACTTAGGTTCCAGGTTTGCCCAGGCTATAAAGCCCTGTACTTAGGTACAGAATGATACCTTTTGGCACTTGGAAGGTCACCATGAGTTGCTTTTCCACTTCATCTACACCACACATTTTGCATACTGCCACACACAAACTATGCACACTGCTCACACCACTTGCATCACCAGTACTACTCCACAGACCATGCCACACATGTCATGAATTACTACTGCTACAAAGTGCTGGGTCTCACCTTCTAGTCTTGGCAGTCCAGAATCCCTTGGGACAAGCAATTTGTTCCCTTCATTTTTATTGTTGTTATCTAAGCCATCTAGCTTGTATTATACAGCTACTTGGACTTTTCCTACATCAAGATGTAAGTTGAGAATTTTGAGTTACTCATAAGTAGTGATCAAGTTTGAGGAGACATGTTCCTGGATGCCATCAAGCCAGGTCTGCAAACTCTTTGTCCTCAATGATCATACCAGACCATTAAGTCCAGTCATGTGGCCTTTGGAGGGTGTTGGGGTTTTGGCATTTTGTTTGTATTTGTCATGTCAGGGAGTGTCATGCAGACAACCATGGACACTGGTGTGTGCCACTTGTGTATTGATGCTGCTGGGGTCAGCAATGTTGTTGCCATCAGTTATGAGTTTATTCAGTGAGAATATATGCTGGACTGTGTTACTATACACAAGGAATTTACTGCCAAGTCTGTGTACCCTGGGGGACCATTGTTGGTATGTCATACAAGCTCTGTATGCAAGTTTGTGGCAGTTCCCTTTCCTGATGTTGAAGGATATTACATCCATTGTGGAATTTCACAGTGGTTTTGCTTCATCATCTGCACCATCAGGGGTGTGTCAATGCCCTCTGCAGTCACGAGTCTACAGCTACTTGTCTGTTGCTCTTGTATGTGTTTCAACAGTTAAAGACTGCTTGGAGAGGGAGTGTCACTCAACTTTGCTACAGTTCCTCATTGTGGCACAGACCCCACAGCAACATTCTACCATTTGGGCATCATTGATGCTGTCTGGATGCTCAGGGGACAAGTCTGTGGCTCCACCTCATTATGTGTGCCCCCCATCCTCCAGATTGCTCATACGTCATTTTCTGAGCATCAAAACAACTACTCATAAATAACAGTTATGTCATTTACCATCCCACATAGTCAACATGAACACATGCCCCATAGACTTTTCCATTCAATATCGCACCCCCACAGTACTAATCTCTTACAGAAACTTGGACCCACACTCACTCAATAGAATTGCCCATAGAATCACTTGTAAATCTAAATAACTACATTACATGCTTTCCCCAAATGCATCCAGGAGTGCCTGGAGGGTTTTGGTATTGAACATTAGCATGGTCAGAGGTTATGCTTACTTAATCACCTTGTTTACAAGTTTACAAGGTCACTCCACCCTGAAAATGAGATGCTTTTTTTGACATCCATGCAGTTGCATCAAAATCCACTCTGCATGGCAAATGCAACACTCCTGCAGGCTATAACACATTCACCCACCCTGGAGTCAATGAGAGATTCTGTAGGGTGTTCACTGCATGGCACAAGTACCTTGCATTGACAGCATCCACCAACATCATCCATGATGGAGCTGGTGGTTGGCTCAGTACTGCAGCACTCAATGCCATGGTTCAAAGTGCTGGTGGCACTCCTGATCAGGATATGTTTGACAACTTCTTCATTTGTGACACCAGTGACCCTCACTACAGGTTCAAATCCTATGATGGGCTCTTCATCAGGGAGTTGAAAGCTGTCCACCATGCCATGGTCTATCCCAACAACCCAGTGATCATCAACTCTGCATGCTCATCTACTGTCCACATGCTTTACTACAACCTCAAGAAGATGGACAGATTCTGGATCAAAAATACCCCCTACTCCCTCAACCACATCCTCGCAGAGGATGAGCTTGTTGACACATTTGTCAACAGGACTCTTATTCAGGCTATGCTTGGATCTCTTGACTACCACTGCTGGTGCAGTCCTGTGAATGGTACTGTCATGAAGACATGCCTCATTTCTGGTGTGACCCATCCTAACCCACCACCTACCTACTACATGGCTTGCTTAGATGATGGCCATAAGGATCTGGATGATGTTTCCTGCTAGCAGGACTTTGTCTCAAACATTTCCATGCATGCTTTGATCTACATCCAAGCTGAGGAGCGCATTGGCTTGATGTGTTTCATGGGTGTTGGCTTGGGCAAGGTGTCGACCTGTAACATTGTTGTCAATGAGGGTCAGGAGCTCAAGAAGGGAGATGAGCTGGGCCAGTTCCACTTTGGCAGATCTACCCACTGTCTCATCTTCTGACCTGGCATGACTGTGACACTGATTGACCAGGATGGCCAACTGTTGGAGGGATCAAAGGTGCAGGTTGGCAAAGATATCCTCATCACAACAAAGCTGCCTTGAAATGATAACTTTGGTTGTGTGTTTGTATAACCTCAGATTTAAACAGTGTCATCACTTGCATGTACAATAGCAAAGTTGAATTGGTGCCTTGGTGTGTTTGTGTATGATGTAACAGTTCAGGTGTATGGCAGCAAATGCTATCTTTGAGTGTTTCACTTGGTTCAGTGTAAGGTGTCAACAATGTGGTAGTTTCAAGGCAGATAAGTTGGACCAGTTCCATTTCCAAGGGTCTACCCACTGGCCCATGCACTACTCTGGCTTGTGTCACTGATCCCTCAGGGCGAGGACACCACATTATTAGTAGGATTGTACATGTGAACTGGCAAACATAGTTTCTGTCTAGGGTGTTTCCTCTAAGTCAGGATTGAAGACTGTATCTGGATGTGTTTGCAGAAGATTGGCTTCGTGACAGCAGGTACATGTTGTAATTCTTTGAATGTTACTACTATCAGTGCAGGAGATATGTGCATTGCTATATACAGTAGTTATGGACATAATGCAAGATGCATGAATGCTGGGGAAGGCACTTGGGAAACTGAGAAGTAAGGAAGGGAGAGAATGTGGGAAGTGCAGAGCACTTTCTGACCCCAGATGGGTGCAGGATCCTGTTGGAGGCATGAGCTGTGAGGACAGATGGATATGCCTTGCAGGTTGTGCTGCTCCTGATGGGTCCACTAATGCACCAGGGACCCCAGATTGGGTGGTGCTGTGAGGTGTTGAAAATGAAGAGTGTGAGGAAAGGGAGCAGAGTGGGGTGTGATGACAAGAGTGGTCGAGCAATTCATGGAATGAGCAGGGCACTGGAGGCATAGGAATGAGGGATAAAGAACCACTTACCTATGATACTAACCATTGCACCACTTGTAAGATCCTCTGGGATCAGCACCTAGCTCTGAGGTAACTTTTTCAGTGTCAGGTAACAGGATGCGCCACATTCCTGGATGCATCCTGGTCCAGGTCTGAGAGTTGTTTTGTCTCCCAAGTTTTTGCCAGACTGAAAATTGCCAGGTCATCTATTTTGCAGGGTCAAGGTGGGATACTAGGTTTGTGCATTTGTGGTGTAGCCAGTCAATTGCATTATCCTCTCCTTCCCCAGGGGAGTAAAGTCCATGCTATGGGTACATGAATCAATTGGTTGTACACCTCTTTCATGTGGTGCATGCCATGAGGGCAGCACTCCAGCAGGGTAAACAAGGTGCCTGCTGGCAGCACCAGCCATGTTCTAGTAGCACTTCTCTCCCATTGATTTGGTCTGAATTTCTTTGCACCACTCCAAACTCAGACCTGGCCACAGTGGCCACAATTGGGCTGTCTCGAAACCAGGATACATCCAATGCATGTCGTGAGTTAGATTCCATCCTGCTATTAATCAGTATCAGTAGCCTTGTTTCCACTGTTCAAATCAGCAGAAGGCTTGGATATCAAAAATAGATGTAGTTCGAAACTGTGTGCACTTGTAGGTCTTATTCCTGATAAGTACAACTATCTGCTTGAAGCTGACATTTCTCCACTGCTGACACCTTATTTCTGTCTTCTCTGAGCCTCTAACAATCCCATTCAACACCATGACAGGCCCCATTATCAAGCATTCATTCAAGCGCTAACCATGAGGTATGTTATACAGTAGCATTGATATACCAAATGAATTTGAGGTGTCATGGGCTTAAGGCTATGCCACACATGCTGAGGTACTGTAGGAACCTGCAAAGGTATGTTCACTCTGCAACTCCAATATATATCCTCATACATAACTCACCTGACCATCTAGTAGTACATCTTATCATGAAATACATCTCCCCAGATATCCTGATCCAGTAGGTGGGGATTGTCTATGGCATGGTCCTGTGGTTGCCCAAGTACATTGTTCACTACCACAAGGAAGTCACTGAAATTGTTGACTTCAATAGGTTTCATCCACACAGGCCCCTCACACAGAGGGCAATCATACAGCATAACTTGGAGATATCTTCCATCATACAGCTCTGTTAATGTCTTGGCAGTAATGGGATGCCATCTCAGGTGCTTAGGTATGTTTCTCCACTTAGCATTGAGTTGCTCTCTGAGGTGGGTATGGAACCAGTCCCTCAAGCAACTGTAGCAGGATGTGTGGTTGCATTCAACAAGACTAACATGGTCAGTAAGTGATAGCCATGATATCAATAACACCACTTACACAAATAGTCTGTCAATGCAACCTTTACAAACCTTGCACCTGGTGGCAGCATCATGAGCCACAGTTATCTATCAATAGACCAATAAATATAAAGGCATGTGTGAACAAGGGGAACAGACCTGTTGAACTGTCACCTCAAGATCTTCTTGTATTGCTTGTGCCTTACAGAGGGCCTTCTCTGCCTTTTGTTTTTCAATTCTCAACTTGGTGAGTTCCTGGACCAATGTCTACCATCTACTGTGACAGTAGGAAACCAATGACTCACTAAGCATGATTGTTTCACTTCTTTCTTGATGAATGCTGCAATATCCAATACTTCTTTAAGGATTCAGTTACCATCCACCTTGGACTTCTGGAGGAAGGCCTAGACAAGGAGTGCAGGTGGCGCAGAATTCAGCGTGAGTGTGTGGTGGACATGGTTTGGTGCAGGTATGTTGGGTCACCACAAGAGATGGACCAAAATTCTTATACACCTTCCAGCACAAAGGCATTTATTCATGCTCCTACTTGTATCACAATCATCCATATGCCCACTTCCACTCTTCACTCTTCACATTTCACATCCAACACTTGACTGTGGGCCTGATCATGCTTGAGTCATGTCTCCAACACATTTACATACTCCAGCATGAGAAATATGTATGTCTGTTCTGTGAAATGATCATTGCCTTGAAGAATTTGTGAGGGACCACCAGTTACAAATTGTGCTGTGGAAATGAAATCAGGTTGTCAATGCACTTGTTAGGAACACCTGCACTTTTTATCACACTCAGTATTTAAGAGACACAGCCCTTGAACATGAGACTCATGACTACTCACCACCTGGATGGCTTGGCCCTGTCCACATCATCCAATCCAGATGTGCTCTGGATCTGGTGACATGCTCTCTAAGAGACAAAGGAAGGACCAACCTGTAATGGGCCTGCACAGCTGCTTGTGATTGGATGGAGGATTACCTAGTGTACTGCAACCAATAATTCCATGAACCTGAGATGGCTCAGAGCACAGCCAGTGATACAAGTCCACAAGGTCATTGGGTTAGAAGCCCTCCATGATGTCCATCTGACATAGGTAATAAGAAATGGTGCTGCTCCATTGGAGTGGGCAAGAAGGGTGTGCTCTCAGTAAAAGGCTGAAGGAGATCCCCAACATGGACAGGGAAGGATCCTCGATGAATTGTCCAATATGCCTAGCTTTGTAATTGTCAAATTTTCAGACATGTTTCTTATTGGTGTCACACTTGTCAAACCATGGAAGTGGAGTAGCTCTGCATGGCTATAGATGACAATGGGCATTTGGGACTTCCCCCTGCATGCCATGTGCTATAGTAGTCATCTGTATCTCACCTCTTACCTGCCAGTTACATATATACTGATAGTTGCGAAATATAGCTCTCAACAGCCATGGTGTCTATCAAATAGTATTTATTATGCAGATCCAGAAGTCTCTCAGTCTCCCAGTGTAACCTTCCCTAACCACATCTTCTCATGAAGGCACTCTCCAGCACCTTGTTTGTGGCAGCAACCAGCCTCTGATTCTGCCAATTACAAATAGTCCTGAGGGCTTGAACATAAATGTAGATCAGAGCCAGGTGCTACAGATATGCAGTGAACATAATATGAACATAAACCCCCAGTGCCACTAGTGAGATGAAGAATATGATCATTGCATCCAACTACATCCACATCAACAAGTAAGTAGGGATTCCAAAAGAAAAAGGTAGATGAACACACCTGGTGACTAAAATCACACCAGATATCTCATCAACACCAGCTCATAAACAGGATGAGCTCAAAACTTTGATCAAATCCCTGTCTTGTATGTTGCTCAGTGACCCAGACTATTCCCTCCTGTATTATCAAGCCATTAAAATGGATCCTGATGCTACAAAGGTCCTTCATGCCCCATCTCTTCATCCTGCTCCTGCTCCTGCTCCTACTCCTGCATCTGCTGCTCCCATTGCTACTCCACCAGCTCAGACTCATCCTGCTAGAAGGACCATCACTTGTTATGGCTGTGGTGTCGAAGGCCATGATCTTGACAATTGTGAAGCAGTTAATGATCTTGTTCAGAAGGGTTCCTTGGCATGAGATGAGAATTGTCAAGTTATTTACCCTAATGGGCAATGCATTTATCACAATGGCAAAGAGACTATCCTCCAGGCCTATGAGCACACTCTGGCTGCTGCTCAGCCTGCCAATGTGGTTCACTTTGTTGTCCATGAACATGGTGAAGAAGAATCCAGTGCTGAGATTTACAGTGGCTCAAAAAACTGACCACATGTTTGGACATTTTTCACTAAAGTCAATACTGCCCCATATCCCCTAAGCTAGGCCCTAACCTATAAGTGTATGAAACAAAGCCATTACCATTGGCTCTCTATTGGTGCAGGGGTCAAGGGTTTTGGATAAGGTTTGATCAAATGGCAGCCATTTCAAAATGATCACTCATGCTGTCAGTTTTTTGACTTTAGGTTTCAATTACATATATTAGACCCTGGCATACTGTAATATTAGTACATACATTTGGTAGTGGTTCTATTATGACACCTTTATGTAACTTAGTGTCAGACACTATAAATAAACCCCACCATCACTATGGAACTCATCTCTGCATCTCAAAGAAAGAGCAACATATCTCTCTCCTCTCTTGATCTTTCCACCAGGAAAATTGCTTCCCAAACTGGCTTAGGGCAGTCTACAGTATGCCAGGTCCTTCAGAAACTCCAGCCAGAGAGGACTAGGCTTTGTGGTGGCCACCCATTAAAGCCTACCCCTACCAACAAAAGGGCTATTGTTCAGCAAATCATTACTGGCAAGGCCAAAAATGCTGTCCCTGTCATTCAATTCATCAATTCTCTTATTGATACTCCTGTCTGCCACAGACTGTTAGAAATAGCCTCAAGGAAGCCTCTGTAAAGGGTGTGGTCAAGAAAAAGAAGCCCTTGCTTTCTAATGGACACAAGAAGAGAAGGCTAGCTGTTGCTCTCAAGTACCAGAATTGGACTGTGGAGGACTGGATGAGAGTTATATGGTCAGATGAGACCTAAATATGCAGGACTGGGTCAGATGGGCAAGAGTATGTGTGGAAAAAGAAGAGTGAAGGGCTAATTGCTAGAGAGGTCAAGGGTACAGTTAAGTTTGGAAGTGGTTCACTGATGGTATGGGGCTGCAGAAGGTGGAATGGAGAAGGGGTTTTGAGTGAGATGGATGGATGGATGGATGGCTGAACAGTATGTGGCCATTTTGGAGCAGGGGCTGCTGCAAAGCTTAGAAGATTCTGGAATTCCAGAAGGTCATATAATCTTTCAAAAAGATAATGGCCCCAAGCACACCTCTAGGAGAGCCCAAAGTTGGTTGGAAGAACAGGAAATCAACCTTCTGGACTGGCCTGCACAATCTCCAGACTGTAATCCCATTGAACATACTTTGAATCACCTCAAGAGATGCCTCTCAGGTTATGAGAGTGCTCCTACAGTCATGTACTGACTGTGGGAAAGAGTGGGAGAAGATTGATGAGGAGCAGTGTCAAAAATGGATAGAAAGCATGCCTAGAAAGATTGAAGCAGTTATTAGGGCCAAAGGAGCTTGTATGAAGTACTAGATACTTAAATTGATATAAAGTCAAAAAACTGACCACATGAGTCATCATTTTAAAATGGCTGCCATTTGATCAAGCCTTATCCAAAACCCTTGACCCCTGCACCAATAGAGAGCCAATGGTAAGGGCTATGTTTCATACACTCATAGGTTAGGGCCTAGCTTAGGGGATATGGGGCACATCAGGGAAATGGGGAATGACAGAGTTGTGGTCATGACCAGTCAGTGACAGGTTTAAACCATTTTTTCACTTCCTGATGCAGTATTGACTTTAGTGAAAAATGTCCAAACATGTGGTCAGTTTTTTGAGCCACTGTAAGTACATGGGGGTGTATATAATGTGGGGGGAGTGCAGCCTATGACAAATGAGGCACAGATGCTTGGTAAGTAATGAGTAAGGACTGAGTAATCATGATAAGTATGTGAGAAATGAAAAGTAAGCAAGTAAAAAAGATTGGTAAGTATTGGCAATAAACAAGTCAAGGATAGTCAAAATATCACAGAATGAGTCAAATAGAGTCAGAAACTGAGTAAGCACACTGGTATCACATTAGGGGGTGGCGATGCAAGTCAGATCTCAGCAGAGACTAATGAAGTTATGAGTATCTCAGTGTACAAAGTAGTCACTTTATTGGTACCTAACAAAGTTATGAGTATCTACACTATGTCAGTACCAAGTAAATGAATGTAAGTATAAGTATGCTCACCTCAGTGTATGAAGAAGTCACTGAGATGGAAAAGAACAGTGCAGAAAATTTATAGTACCATAATTAGTAAGCATAGTGACATTGGAATTTAATTCCAAGGGCCAGGGAGAAATTCCGAGCCCTCTGGGCAAAACTCCGAGAGGCTACCATAATTCTGGAACACATTCTCAACACTCCCCCTCAATCAGGACAGAGTCCAAGTGCAGATGTGAAGTGTTTTGCCTTGATGCTAGGTAAAGGTTTGGTAAGGGTATTGGTGACCATGTTGTCAGTAGGACAATAAATTAAATGAAAGGAATGGTGTTCCACAGTGAAACGAATGAAATGGTATCATATATCGATGTGCTTGGTGCAAGCATGGTAGCTGCCATCCTTAGTGAGTGTGATAGCAGATTGGCTGTTGGAATACAGCGGGATAGGATGTTTGAGTGGTCAGAAAACTTCTCCGATGAGTCATCGAAGCCACAAGCCCTCTTTGGCTGTATGAGTTGCTATGACACACTCTGCTTCAGCAGTGGAGAGCATTACAAGTTCTTGTTTCAGCAAAGCCCAGCTAATAGCTCCTCCATCCAGTAGATATGCATATCCACTGATAGCCTGTCAATGCTCCTGTGAAGCTCTGTCTGCATTGGTATAGCCCTCAAGGCCTTGTTCTGTATTTCCAAATGTCAAAGTGAGCACTTTTGTGCCAGCAATATACCTGTAGATTTGTTTTATGGCTTCCCAGTGAGTCATGTTGGGTGTGTTATTGAACTGCACAACTGTGGAGACAGCAAATGTGATGTCTGGGCAACTTTGCTGAGAGGATGAAAGGGTGGGAGGAGGAGAAGGCAGGACATCTTCTGCTGGATCTTGCAGTAAGAAGGCAAGATGCACATCATACTTGTCTGAATGAGATCAGGGAGGCTGGAGAACAGTAGATTATGCTGCAGCGGTCACAATGTGGGAAGAATGATGGATGAGATTGGAATAAAGATGGTGCAGGGAGCAGGGAGGAATGATCCATATGCTTCATCAACCAGGGAGACTGAAATGACCACATAAGACCCTTCTAACCAAGTGACAGACCTGAGGCAACCAAAGAACATCCTTCTAGAAGTCATACTGATGAGGAGACCATGCTGACCAAGCTGCATGGGATGAGATCAGGCTGACAATGATGGAATGAACCAGGGGGCTTCAGGGTGGAAGCTGGTGGGAATGCCTGGCAGATATATGTGGCTACTGTCTCTGCCAAATGAGACAAGCAAGATGATCAACAAAGAGGCAGCCATTATTGATGGACTTAGCAAATTGAGCATCTGATGGATGGAGTGCTGTAGAAATGCATAGGGTGTGAGGATCCTCTCCAAATTTGGAAGGCAGAATTGCATGGCTGAGCACTTTAACCGAGTGTGAGAATGGAGTCAATATCTTTGGAAATGGTGGAGATACAACAAAAACTAGAATGCCATACATGGGTGCTAAAATCCTTTAATGTGCACTTAACTTGCTTCCTCTTTTCTCTTTAGCACTGATGACTACTCATATCCAGCAGTCTTTCTATGCATGAGGCCTTTAGTCTTCATCTGCATTCATGGGCATTGCATGCAACTTGTCAATGAGTTAGGCAGAGTCAGCTGTAACCATGTCCACAACACCTTTGGTGTGTGACAGCACTGTGCTCACCCTTTTGTCAAAGGTGATCTTGTGTACATCTCTATGAAGAATATTAGCTTGTCAAAGGGA